AGGGTTTCCAAGGCTGTACTTTTTTTAAAACCATTTTCTTGGGAATTAATACACACATATCATGCCCTAGTTCAATCACATCAAGCAGTATTGTACAACTGCTGCCACAATCAGTTTCAAAAATTCGTTTCCTTCTTGAACACCTTAACATCCAACTCCCTTTACCCCACACCACCACTGCACCCCCAGAAACCCTTTTTATATTTGCTGTCCCTATAGGTCCATCAATCTTGGGTTTCATATACTGAAAACAGGGGGAAATATAACAAAAATTCAAGAGGCTGACCCCTCGTGACATAACACATCTGAGATAAACTCCAATATGAACAAACAAAGATATATAGATATAGATATATAGATATAGAAACTGTTGAAACCCAGATCAGGCCTAAAGTGCATCAGAGAGGGCATCAACTGACAAGGTTATAGACGTTCCAGTCAGACGTATCCTTCTGATCTTCTATACTCATCTCTCCAGTGCACTCTGTTGACTGAATACTTTCTTCCCCTATCTCTCTAATGGACCAGTCTTATTCCCTATGCAGTTCCCACAAATGTCTCTTGGGCTCCCACTGTCATCCATAGCCTTCTGCAAACTGGATTCTCACAAATTAGGCTTTGGAATTACTCCCTCCTTCAGCTTCTGATTCTATGATTTGCAATCCTCCGGTCACTGAAGTTGGTGTGGATTTAGTGGACATCTCACTTAGACATCTACTTGATGGGAAACAAGCCTGTAAGACCCCAAGATTTGGGGAGAAAAGAGTTGCAGAGTCAGATAGTGGAATTGGTGATTCAAATCCCACTCGGGACTCCCACGGATCTGTTCCATCGACCCAGGAAGCTCTCTTTGAACCGGTTCCCGAAAGGGAGGTGAGCCGGAGGCGCTGGAAAAGTAGCAGCCACTCTGTAGTTCAGGGCCTGATCTCCCTGACTGCCCTGAGGTCCCCAGGGCCCGCCCACTCCTGTTTGCAAACCACTTCCACTTTGTCATCAGCTACCCTGACTCACTAACAGAAAGTTGATCTCTCGACTCCGCGCGACTCTGCAGCCATCAACAACATCCTTCTGATTAGATCGTGATGTCTGCCCCACATGGACACCCATCCGGACCCCTTTCTGAGATAACTTGTTCTTTCCTTATTTGTTCAGTGGCTCATCCTGCACACCGGCCACATCTAGAAGATTCCTGAGGAAAATGATTCTGCCCAGGCAGAAGGTGCTCTACACTGGATCCCTGTGTAAAAAGAGACAGGCACTTCATCACAAAAATCTAGACAACCTGAATGCACGAATTAATCCCCTCATGCATTTGAAACAGGGATGTTCAGTGCCAGGGACGTCTTCAGATTTAAGCTCTTAAACCATCCTGACGTGCAGAAGCTGCCCGTGGAAAAGTGATTCTGTTTTAAATAGCAACGGGATGAGATAACAGCCTAAATTCAAATCGCATGAGCGCGTTAAATCCTGCCTTCTCACCTCCAAATGTAATTAGTTGTTATGACTCAGCAATGCAGCTTTTCGCTGAGAAGATGGGGGGAGGATCCGGAGACATGGTTTTCGGGTACCATTCCCACTTTGCCAACTGATTTGAAAAAGCAGAAAATGTGCTGAAGGCCCTCCAGCTTCAGGTACCTTTAGGCCAAGATCCAGAACTCTGGGTGGTGCGATGGGGGCGGAGGTGGAGGCAACCAGCCTACCTCCAACTCCTTGATTTTCCTCTGAGGCCTGCCCATTCATGAGGAACCCGCAATGGAGGGTGAATGAAACAGAGACATCTACTGGCCAGCGGTGGGACCTGCACACGGATCAAGCTCGGTCCGGACCTTTTGTGAACTTCAGGTTCCCTAGTGGGTGGGAAAGAGCCCCTTTCCAGTGTAAACAGGTCAGCTCTGAACAAGGAATGGTTTAAATGGAAGGTATTTGGGGCATTGACCCAAAACATTAGGCACACAGTACGTGACTAATTTCACGTACTTGCTCCCCTATAATTACCTAAATTATCTAAGCAGGTCTAATCTTGTTAATAAATACTATTTCAAGGAAAGTGATGAAAAAAGAAAATTGCCAAAGCTCAGAGATGCCTTGTGAATACAACATTTGGGCCAGAAGAAGAATTAGAACAATCCCTGGAAATTTCATTAAACCAGCTTTAATCTAGGTCAAAGGCCAGGGGCCGATTGTGGAATAGACCGTCATTTGCTCTGTGCAAGTTCAAGTTGAAGCTAGAGAAAATCAAAACGAGTCTGAAAGCCGAAGTACAACTTCATGCTATCCTACCTGAAGTTAGAAACCAGCTCGAGCAGAGAGATGGCTCATTGAACACTAATGACCGAAGACGAGGCAAGTTGTAGGATGACAGCAAGAACATCATACGTGTCCGATCCACAAACAGCCATGAAAAAGGAATAAAGGGAAACACAGGCCAGCATGGCTGTCAGAAGGGACTCTGAAACTTCCTCTTGAATATGTGAGGAGTCAGGTGCCCTTCAGGCAGTTCTGATTCATAGCTACTCCTGCCCGGACAACAGAATGAAATACTACACCATCCTCACAATTGTTAGGTCCAAGCCCATTGGTGCAACCACCATGTCCATCCATCTCATCAAAGGTACTACTCTTTTCTACTGCCCTTCCACTTTACCAAGCGTGATGTTCTTTTCAGAGGACTGGTTGGTCTCACCTGATAGCATGTGCAAAGTAGGTGAGACCAGGTCTCACCATCCTCCTTTCTAAGCATCCCGGTTGTACTCCTGTCCAGACAGATCTGTATGTCCTTTTGGCAGTCTATGGTACCCTCAATAGTCTTGACCAGCACAGTATCTCAAATGCATCTCCTCATCAGTCTTCGTTATTCAATGTCCAACTCTCATATGCATATGAGATGATTGAAAATATCACGGCTGGGATCAGGTGTCTTCAAAGTGACATCCTTGCTCTCCAACACTTTAAAGACGTCTGTGCTCAAGATTTGACCACTGCAATGTCGTGTTTCTTTTCTACACTGCTGCCATGAGGATGGATTGCGGATCCGAGCAAGATGAAATCCTTGACAACTTCAATCTTTTCTCCATTTGTCATGAAGCTGCCTACGGGCCCAACTTTGAGGATGTTTGTTTTGTCCGCATCAAGTTGTAATCCAGATTGAAGACGGAGATCTTCAATCTTCGTCAGCGAGTGCCTCAAGTTCTCCTCACGTTCAGCTAGTAAGGTGGTGTCATCTGTGTATCAGAGAGTATTCATAAGCCTTCCTCCAATCCTGATAACCCATCCCTCTTCCTATAATCCACATTACCTTATTACTTGCTAAGCATATGGACTGAATAAGTATGGAAAGAGGATACAACCCCGATGCACACCCTTTCTGATTTGAAACCACACAGTATTGCCTTTGTTCTGTTGGCCCAACTCCCTCTTAGTCCATATACAGCTTTCTCATGAGCACCGTGAAATGTTCTTTAATGTAGTGCAGCGAAAATGGAAAGAAGAAGTAAAGTAAAAGGGCTGAACTCATTTCAAAGGTCAGATAGAGAAAACAAAGTCCAGGTTTATAATAAATGTGGAAAGACCAGCGGAGAGAAAATCAAAAGGGAAGAACATGTTCAGTATAGCTCAAGCTTAAAGAACTGAGGAACATGCTTCAAGCCTCAAACGGTAATACTGCAGAAAATCCAAGGGCAAAAATAAATTGAACATCACAGGGAGCATCTAAACGAGGTGAAGGAATACACAGAGTCACCATACTAAACAGGGCCAATGTTCAACCATTTCAGAAGGTTGCATGCTCAAGACCCAATGGTACAGAAAGAAGTAAAATCCGTGCAAAAGAAAGGTATTGGCAATAAATAAAGGTTCCATGAATTGACAGATTACCAATGAAAATGCCTCAACCAGCAGAATCCTAGTAACACCCATTTGCCTATGCCAAGAT